CCTCCAGCGTCTGCGTCACAGGCGAAATCTCGGTTGTCTTGCGGATCACCTCCTGCGCCGTGCGCCGTCCCTGCGAGTCAACAAGGTGGCTCGAGAAAATGCTGTTCACCAACGTCGACTTGCCCATGCCCGACTCGCCCACAAGAATAACGTTGAAATTGAACCCGCGCTTCAGGAACTTGCGCTCCATCTGCTGAGTAATTGTGTCGAAGCCGACATAGGTCTGGTTATCCTATAGTGCAGTGAGAAGGAAGACAGTATTGCACATACTCTGTTAGCCCACTTGTTGTGTACGCTTAAATTCGCCTCCCTGATGAAGAGCGTCTCCAGTCGAAATTGGAGCACTTCAATAAGCGTCTCCTTACATTCGCCGACATTGTATTTTGAAGGGGGTATTTTGTAGGAAGAGAATAATAAAATAGGAAAGAGGGTTTTGTGTTGCAAGAGGTAGAGAGAGCAGAGGAGAAAGAGAGGGGGAAAACTGCCCAGTGTTGGGTGATAAGTGTGCAGGCTAGAAAAAATGCATATTTCTGCGGGCATTAACGGGCGGTGGCCAAACGAATTGCAGTAGGGCGAAAAAGAAAAATAGCTGGGATGTTTTTGTTTTGGAGTTTTCTGCGCAAAGAATGCTTGTTTCAAACGCGGGTGGCGGAAATAGGGGCGGGCGCGAAACATGGGTGCTGGCACCAGACGAGGCTTGGAGACAGGGTGCCAGCATTCCCAGCCGGGGAGGCGGGCGAGAACGTTGTGCTTGGCCAGCACACCCCCTCGCTAGCCCTGAATGCCGGTAATTGCAGCGGGCAAGAGACGACGCTGCCAACCCCCCGCGAAATGAATAGGAGGCCGATATATTGCTGGAGCATTCTCCACACACACCGGATACAGCGGTCGTTTTTGCCCGCTACCACCAAGGGTGCTGCTTAGGAAAGCCACATGCGGAAGGCAGGCAGGCAGCAGAACCACGGTCTTCATACGGTCCTCATGCTTTGGCTGGTCCCAATTAGCGATCTGCATTCTTGTTTTTGTGGGCAGGTGTGCGCCATGCGTCTGTCAATCAGACATCCAATGGCGGGCTTGGGAGCGCAGCGCCCTGCCGGCTCGGCTCGCACCATAAATCTCCCCCGCCATCGCTGGGGCTATGCCATGTGAGGTGGGCAGACGCTCTCCGCAGAATCCTACATACTTGCCAACGTCTCCACATACATATACGTTATATTTAGTCTCCCCGGCCTCCATTGCCAGTCATGTGCAAGCATATTCTGAACGCCCAGGTGTCGATTCGCGCCCCGTGCTGCAAAAAGTGGTTCGACTGTCCCGAATGCCACGCCGAGCAGACCGACCACTCTCTGAAGCAGTCGGACGAGATGGTATTCATCTGCAAAAAGTGCAAAAAGGCGTTCCGCAAGGACGTGCGTGACTATGAGCCTGAAGACGAGTACTGCCCGCACTGCGACAACCACTACGTGATCGACGCCAAGACGCCGCGCGCTGCACTGGGTGTCGAGGGCGAGGATGCTCGTATGGACAACCGCTTTGTCAAGGACGACCGTGTCAAGGGATATGAGAAGAAGTCCATATACGCCCAGGACAACCTGGACGAGCGTCTCGGTTAAAACATTCTGATTAGATATGGGGAGAAATATTAATTGATTGCTATAACAATTGCTAGCAGTGGCAGTAGGAGCGTGCCGGCCAGCGACAGGCTCGTGCGGGTGGCAGAGTTGGCTAGCCGCGAATATTCTGCTGACCACACGTCAATGCTGTCGGAGGATGAGTCGGAGTCGAGACCAGACAGTTCTTGCCCTTCGTCATCACTGCTGCCGTCTGCTGGAGTGGACTCTTCTGCCGACAGCCAGCCGGCTGATGTTGACGATGTCGCGATCCACAGCCCAAACGGCAATTCTGTGCCCCGTGAACGGTGTGACGTCGACGACGGACTGTTGCTCGGGTCGGTCGGCACAGCTGCCGCAGTAAACAGCAGCTGCAGACTGCTCGTAAGCGAAGTAGCAGTCAAAGCAGTAGGTGGTAGATCGGAGGTGGCCTGTGGGGACAATGTGGTTATGATGCTCACAGGTTGCTGCGACATGGGCATTGCTGAGAACAGCGGTGCTGCTGGACTAGCAGGCTGTGTTGGTGCTGTGGCAGCCTGTGGGCCTGCGGCAGCTGGTGACGAGGCGATGGAGGCGGCCAGCGGTTGAGGCACCAGGGATACAAATCCTGCGGCAGGCATTGTTGTCTGGGCAGCAGCAGGTGTGGGAGCCGGCGGTGCAAACGGAAGCTCCAGCGCTAGCCGCTCGTTTCCGCTGGTGTTTGCGAACATATCTGGCGACAGCCGCTCGAGCTCTTGGACAAGGCTCTGAATAGCGTGCTGCTGCTCGCTGTTGTGCGGCTGGATCAGACGGAATGGTGCTTGGCTCTGGAGTGTCTGCGCCATAGCGGTGGCAAACAAACATGACGAAACGATGCTGCTGAATAGCATTGGGCGTGCTTTGTGAAATGGCAGATGTTTGTTGAGGACCAGAATTGTTGTTGATAATTGAACAAGAAAATTTACAAAAGCATGCTTGGAAACGTTTCTAGACCAGCTGAATGCCTTGGCCAAACGTTGCTGGCATATATACCAGGCGAGATATGTAAACGGAAATCTGCTACTGCGCACTGGTCAAGAAGCGTGGCAATAATGTCCAAGCGTCCTAGTGAAAAAAAAACCATCTGCCCTCATCTGCTCCCTCATCTGCTCCCTCGCCAGTAACGCTCTGCGGACACTACATGAAAAGGACAATTGCTCCTGGGTCGAGCAGTTAATCGGCGCGTTTCTACCACCGGAAGCAAGGAAATGACGGAGGGAACGGTGGCTCGTAACCAGTAGCTGCAGTCCTGCAGTGCAAAAAAAAAACTACCAAAGGACGTAGTGTGGTAGCAGCGCAGCCTCTCATCTGAACCTGCCTTTGCCGCAGTTATATGGTGTGCCCGGTTACGTGCTGGGAGGCAGGCGCGCAAAGAAAAGTAGCGGTGCGCGTGTGGCGCTGGGCAAAAAAATATTGGAGGGGGCCAGATTTTTTTTCAAAGCATCTGGATAGTAACTCGCCATGTCTTCCGGGTACATTCCCTTTTTTGTCCCAGCAAGCATCCGTGCAATATTCTCTTCTGTTTCATATCTCCTAATCAATCCTCCCCCAGATCCAAGCATGTCCAGTATCTTCCGCCGTCCGCAGGCTCCCTCCCGACAGCTTCTGACCTGGGAGGAGCGTGCACACGCGGCATTGGCAGCCGCACGTGAGGTGGAGGAGCTCTCGGCGAGTCCGTGCCGACCCGGCCCTCGGAGGTGTCTGTCTCCCGGCGCCTTTACCACGGCCCGCGCTATGCTCTCCCGGGCAGCGATTCCAGCACACAGGCGGCCAAACTCCAGACGCGCGAGGAACCCTGCACAGTGACCCAGGCGAATATGAACCTGCGCACGGCATCCCTGCACCTCTCGTCGGTGGTTCTGGAGACGCCCGAAAAGCCGGATTCGGTGACGAGCTCGCCATACTTTTCTCTATCGTTTGTTGTGGACGCGCTCGTGCCGCTGACGATAAACTGCTACTGGCTTGCGACAGAGGAGTGGGGGAATGGGCCGTGCCCGAGGTTTTGTATCGCGCACTGACCACCACAGGAGCTATCAGATGGAGGCGGGGCTCGACCAGATGTTCTCTCTGCCGCGCGCCGACTGGCTGCACCCGAATGAGGACCCGTACAAGACACTGGCGTCGTCCGACTGGCAGGCCCGCAACGCCGCCCTCAAGCAACCAACGGGTCGTGCCCGTCGGCCACTGCCCCACTCCCCGATGCCACAGCTCGGAGGCGATCGAACTGCAAGCGATGGGCGGCAGCGAGATCCAGGAGATTGCTGATGGCGACGCACAAAAGGCGCCTGCATATGGCCTGGTGGTCGAGCTTGTCGACAAGCGACCGCCCAATCCTGTCGAGCGTGCGCGCCAAATATCGTTTATTGAGTTCTACCGCGACGCACGCGTTCTGGTGCCGCGGTGCGTCAAGCAAAAGGTGTTTCTGGACGGCATGCTGTATTTGCAGTACGAGATCTACGGGCTTGGCGACGCGCCACCGCAATCGTCAATGATGCTGGGGAATGGCGAGGAGGAGTCGGTCCTGCAGTGCGCCATTTGCCTGTCGGACGAACTCGACACGGTTCTTCTGCCATGCAGGCATTTGTGTATGTGCAGGGATTGCGCGAATACGTATCGGCAGCAGAGCAACAAATGCCCGATTTGCCGCAGAGTCGTTGACACGATCCTGAATGTGCAGAGTGTGGGATGAAGAAAGCAGTCTTGCATTTAGAAAGGAAAAGAAAATAACTGGTCACACAGTGGTGTGCGCACAATATACGACCACTTGCGCACTGACCCATGCTTAGTCAATAATAGGAATCACTGCTCTCAGTATAATGAACAAGGCTGTGAACCAGTATCATGTCTTCCAGAAAAAACCAATGTGGCGACTGCGGGGTGGGTGGTGACGGCTCAGGCAAAGTCGACTCCTTGCATGTGCTGTTCGACCAGCAGACAGCAAACCACACCGACTGCTCGATGCGCCGCACTGACAGGGGGCGGCTGGAGGAGACCAGTGGACTGGATCTGATCTGCACATCGCATATACTGAACCACACGGCATGCGTGGGGGACGGTGGGTCGCCGCTATTCATCCGCACAGACACGATGCCAGCCGGTCGCCAGACGAGGCGACTTATGCGATGCTGGGCGTGCTGAGCTCCAAGCCCTCAAACACCGTGCAGACGTCCAGCTGCTACTGTCAGGACGGGCACGATGTTTACATCAGTTTGCTGTATTTCATTGATTGGATCGCAAACACCACCGGCATCGAGCGCATGGCTTTGGAGGTCGCCGAGCCGCATACCGGCGCCAGCACACATCGATCGCTGCCGAGCTATCTTCTGCACTGCTAGCTTTGACTGCATGTGTCTTAATATAACGTAAGAAGCCCTAGGTCGCATCCATGCTTACGTCGGTGCCAATGTCCATATCAATAAGGTACTGCAGATCGGCATCAGTCAGGCCATCCTCATCCTCATCCATCATCATCTCCTCAGCAAGCATCTCCTCGTACATCTCAAACTCCTCTGCCTCCTGCTGCTGCTGCCTCTCCCTCTCCTGCCTCGCCACCTCCTCGATCTCCGCCGCCATCTCGGCCTCATCAAAGCCGCTACTGTCGCTCTGCTTCTCCATCTCGCTCTTGAACCGCGCCCACTCCTGCCGCACGATCTCGTACATTTCCTGGTCGGTCAGCTCCTTTGGCCGTGTAAGGCGGTTGGCCATGAAGGACGCCTCGCGGGCTTTGCTCAGCCGGTCTTTGCACTGTGCGCGGAACCGCGTGTGCCAGGATTTCTCTGTTGCGCGTGAGTGCCGCGAGGACTGCGACAGATTCCGGAAGGACGGATGGGCGGGTGTGTGGCGGCGGTGGGTGATGTGATCGCCTGCTGCGAGTGCTGCTGCGGTGCTGAAATCGTAAAAGAATGCCTAGAATTGTTCATTGTTTTTTTTTTTGGGAGGAAAGTTGAGCAGAGTATGATAGGTATTAGTACAGTATGCAAGAAGAAATTGTTTGAATTCAAAGCGGAAACAAAAGGA